ACCAAATCAGTTTAGTTACGGGAAGAATGCATTAAAGTCTGGTTACTTGGGTTTACAAAGATCCAAAGTCCACAATAAACGTTATAGACTCCAGGTGCTGCGGGAAGACTGCTCCAGTACTAATTCTCCAATGTTGACGTTGCCGGAGGTCGACCAAAGTACGTAGGAAGAACTACGGTGCTCCTGCAAAAATTTGAGATAGAAAGCAGGTGATTAAAATTGATCGACGGCAGTTGAGATGGTGGAGAAGACGGAGCGTCGAAGGCAGAACTATATATTTATTCAAAACCCGAGGTAAAGTTCAAAGTACAGAGTTTATGGTTAAAACAAAGTAGTGTACAATATGTTCATTATTTACATAGTAGTAAAATTTGGATAAGTTTATTTTTGAGGACTCCATTTTTGTATGCTTTGCATTCGACAGACGCAGTCTATGCATATGCAGTAATTCCTCAATTTTAATCAGTTGCTCTCTCATCTCATTCAGGTCTTTTCATGTTTTCGACAGTTCACATTGTAACTCAGCTACCTCATTTTTGAAAACAGTTGACACTTGAGTTGCCGAACTTGTAGTGGAGGTTTTCATTGGATTAGCTTGAGTATTTTGAAAGGTTGAAAGACACATTGACTCCATTTTACTAGACAGCTTGGGAGAATTATAAGAATGTTGAGCAACATAAGTACTCGAACTTCTGCAAACAGTCTTGATGTGTCCAACTTTACCACATTTATGGCACTTAGCACCCAGAAAACGGCAAGTGCTTCGTAGATGTAACTTTCCACAGGATAAACACGGTTTAACGTTTTTGATCTCTGGCTGCATTCTATTACCTGTGGACGGTAGTTTGGATTGCTTTCCATGAGCATTTGTATTTTCGACTTTGGACAACATGACATCAGATACTGACGTAGTGAGAGCAGAGTATTCACTATTGACATCTTCATATGTAATACATAAATCTTTAGCAGTTTGAAAGGTACAAGAAGGAATCTGAATTAACTCTTTCTCCAACTTAGGAATATTGATTCCAGCAATTAGACGATCACGTAGTTGAGTATGCAGCTGATCTCCAAAGTTACACTTTGAAGCTTGAATCTGAAGTTGAAGAATGAACTCTCGAATCTTCTGGTTGGGAGCACGAACCAGTTTGTTGAAGTGAGCCCTCTCTCTGGTCTCAAATGTAGTTACATGAAAGCGATTTATAAGAAGTTCACGTAATTTATAATATGGCAGAGAAATTGGTTTTTCTGGAAATGACAGTCTTTACTAGGCTATATGCATCTAGCCCAATAGTAGTGATGAAATGTGCTGGAATTTTGTCATCCCGAACATTCTTTGAAATGTACCACGCATCGAAGCATTCCAAATAATCAGCAATCTCCCGCAGAGTAGCATTTATAGGAAAATTTCCCGGGTTATTTAGTTCCATCGCGACGCCAATTTGTAGTAATTTATTGTAATCGAAGTATTAGTATTTCGATATGACCGAATTACACGAATCTAAACAAAACACAGAGAGGGCAGAACTCAGGAATTTGTATTTAGCGAAATTATTATCCAATTCATATAAGAAACATATCAACAGTCAACAGTAAGTATTTAAACAATACAGAGATAGAAATGGTCAATCACCACATTGAGGTAGAAAAACATACACACAATTCATTAAACAAGGGGGGATAGACACGTTAGGCATGGATAATTGGGTTGCAACAACCCTAGGCTGATCTGGGACAGGTTGACTTGATTCAAGGATGGGAATTGAATTGATCTTACACAGACATTTATAAAACACAAATTAATTGAGCAAAGAATATCCGTCTCGATAATTTTCTCTTCTGGCTGTACAATTATGTATACGTTTATATACATAGAATATTCTAGAATAGTGGACATTAACAATATTAGTGTTTTTTAAATAATATCGATTTGTAAAGTAAGATCAATGAAATTACAGTTTATTAAAGATGCTTTATTTATAATAATAATAAAGATATAGTTGCAAATAGAATATCAGATAAAATTAAGAAAATCTCACAAAAATTCAGTATCATTCAAACCTAGATGGCCAAGGTAAGGGTAATGTCTGAACTAACTTCTTTTGGACGCACAAATTCGCTTTCTTAATATGGATCCCAACAGCTTCAGCAATATCTAGTAATCGAACTCTCAGGGCGAAATTAAGATGTGTTGGTATGCGGTTAATAACTCTGAAAGTCTGGTTATCATCAATCTAGTGTTCTATATCCACAAGATGAGATAGGATAGCGCTACAGATAAATTTTGTTTGTCCTTTATTTAACCACGCAGAATGATGTTCGGAAATGTAACGAGAAACACGTCTAATTGTACGGCCTACGTAAATGACTCCTCAGGAGCAGTTAAATTGATAGATAGACATGGAAGAGGCTAAATTGAGCAGTTTATCTTTTACTCCTGAACGCAAAAGAAGAGTAGTTTTGAAGATACAGCGTAATTCAGCAGCAGGGAATGCTCTTTTTACAGCATTTCTAAGGTGCTGTTCATTGACGCTCAAGTTGTCGTGATTTCTAAATCTTAAACTGAATTTAAATTCTGATACAGATGTATGTGAGTGATGGTTAGCTAACTTGTAGTAAAAGATGAAGTCTCAGCTTATTCGTGTTTTCCAGACCAGATATAAACTCACTCCGTTTTTAAGAACAGTAGTTATTTGAACCATGCTGCCTACTGCGGTAAACAGGGACTGACAGAAGCCAACACTGTACTTCGATGGTGTTTTCTTTCACATGCACTGATTGCGATCCAATTAGTCTTTTCCCTGATGCGGCATTCCAATTTTCACCACCAGTGCTTCTATATTATCGTTATATCTGATGCAGTGTGTAGTAATTAATTGTAATCGTAGTATTAGTATTTCGAGATGACCAAGTTACAAGAATCCAAACAAAACACAGAGAGGGCGGAATTCAGGAATTTGTATTTAGCGGAATTATTTTTCAATTCATATAAGAAATATTAACAATCAACAGTAAGTATTTAAACAATACAGAGATAGAAATAGTCAATCACCACACAGTGTCTATCTGTAGTTGTGCCAGCTACAAGTTCATTGATACTTATGTGCATTTTCATGATGCAGGGTTACTGATGTGATAGGTAGTTGTCATGCTCATAACTTTGGAAATTGAGCACTGACAAGATCAGCTTATGAATTTTGGTTGATTGATCCGACCGCATCACCCATTATTGTGACTGATAGCATGATGTTCTTTTCATTGATTATTTTTCGGTGGGTACGACTTCAGACGGTACGAAATGCCTCGTCGTCCGTGATATGTTTGACCCACATCAGTCGATCCACTCTCATAAACCCATCACTAGCAAACTTATTCTCTCACAGGAATTAGGGCATTCAAACTGAACGTTTTCTTAACCAGTGGATTTAACAATGCAGAGTACTTATTTATTTATTAAATTATTTTGTTGATTACAGCTTGATTCCACATCGTATTTTCGGTACAAATATGGATTTTTCACCATGTGATATCGGTAGCCCAAGTTTTGTGGGCCGACCATTGATATCAAGTGTGCATCAGCAGGGGATCGAACTCCGGACCATGTACATGGTCGGTGAGAGTCCTAACCACTGTGCCACCGACACAGTAGCAACACGATGAAGGTCACTTTCGTTGATAACAATGCATTGAGTACGACAGTGATGGCACCCCGGTGTTCTGAATCTCAGATAAGTTCAAGGTAGCATCTCTGTGAAGGTTGTCTAGCCTCTATTATTTTTTTCCAAATTGTTTCGACGTCATTTGTGGGTCTTGCTCTAGTCTGTTCAGCAAGTGTGTTCTTATGCTGACAAAATCTGGAGACTATAAACCACAAGTAGAGATTGGTACTTTAAACTGATCCTCTGTCAGTGAATTCAACTTGAAGTGTTGACACGTGAAGCTGATAATACCTAATTGCGTGTGAATGTTATCGTTTTCGTTCTACTCACATTTCATAAAATGTTATCGTATGTTGGATAGCAAACTATTATCACTGAAGTGCTGATGCAGTGTCAGGATGGTTTCTTTGAATGTTCCTTCACTGGGTTTCCGAGGTAGAATCAAACTGCAATATTTTTATAATTCATTCGTGTCTAAATTTTGAAGTAGAAGTCTAACTTTTGAGCTGTCATCTCTGCTCACAAAAATTACTCTAAATATGTCTTCTGTTGCAATTTCTTGTATTAGTTGTATTAGTATTTCGAGATGACCGAATTACAAGAATCCAAACAAATCACAGAGAGGGAGGAATTCAGGAATTTGTATTTAGCGGAATTATTATTCAATTCATAAAAGAAATATATTAACAATCAACAGTAAGTATTTAAACAATACAGAGATAGAAATAGTCAATCACCACATCTTCTTATCTACATAACCACATATCAAATGTAGTGTTTACATCTGGATCAAGAATAAATTCAAATATGCTTCTCCAACATTGTCATTGGATGGAGATGAAGATTCGCACCAGTATCACAAAACTGTTTGTTCAGTTTAATGAGCTGGTGTTTGCAAGAAGGCTAAGTTAACTAAATTCCTCTCATTTTTAAGTTTCCGTCTTTGATTATATGTATCTGTCCATCATCTGTTTTGGCTATTCACATTTGACATAGAAATAAACTAAGAATTAACTGATACCATCCAGGTGGCTACATTCTTCAACATATCTTTTTGTGAAAATCACATTAAGGCAAGTTTAATACAAGTGATTTATCTACTCTATACTGTCTGTACAAATACTAGAAAATAAATCAAGTTAGTGATTTTTATAATTCTGTGCTAAGCTCTTTAATCTTAAGCTCATTAAAGTATATAGATCACAGCGCCTTTTACTGATAAAATCAGATCCAAGCTTTATTAGTAGGTGATACAGTTATAACCTGTGTGATTGGTTTATGCTATTAACCAGTAGAATTTAACTTTCAACTAAGAATAAAATCACCTGATTGCAGATGACTAAATGAATAAAAACTGAGCTGCAAGCAACTAACCAGTAAATATTTCTTCTATACACATTCGCCCAGTAAACGTTTTCTACAAATGGGTACATTTGCTGGACATGTGTTCCCTGGGAGCGTTTTCATCTTTTTTGGTTTATGGTCTGTTTGGAATATAGCAGAAAAATTTAGCCGACGAAAACGTTATGAATTAAACAGGTCCAGAGAATCCATTCCATTATTTATCAATAGAATATCATTTCCAATTGTGAGAAAAACTTCCAGTAACCACAACTGCTGTATAAAAATTATACCATTTGATTCAGTTCTCAAAATTTTATGTTGCGTCATTGTATTGTGCGAAGAAGTTCAGTTAGGCTTTAAAAAAGACTGGACGGATGTGGATCCTCATAGTGCACAACATGTCAGTATGATCTCTTTATTTGGAGTAAGTGGCGTTGCTGAAGTATGCATACTTTATGGGGTATTGAAAATTCCAGTGTAAGTGAGTATATATTGAAATAGTTTATAAATATTTATATTTCATGAAGCTGTTATCAAGTTGAAGACTGAGGCCCACGTATCTTCTTTAGGGACTCCAATTGCAGCTTGTCCATTGTACAAATTTCAAATAGTTTTACATAAGACACCTGGAGTCACACTCTATCCGACACAGTAGTGTTTCATAGTGACAAACAATTTATGATATATTAAGTTGATTCTACACAAACTGACTAGTTTGGATAAATCCGACGATCAAGACGAAGAGAAGATTTACCAACCAATAAACCATAAACCTAGTAACATGATAACAGTGGAGAAATAAAGTGCTCAAGATCCCTTATTATTATTCTCCTGGGTTCCAAGTTGAACATAGGGCTACAACAGCACATCTCCACTTTGTTCTATTTGGTGCTTCCTCTTCAGCTGGGTCGACGATTGCCCATAATCTCTCATCTCCTCTTCGCATGACCTCCTCCATGTCACCCTCGAAGGACCTACTCGTCGCTTCCCATTGGGATTCCACTCGAGCAATGGCCTAGTGCGTGATGTCTTTTGATGGCCTCTTCAACGTATGTCCATTCCATCTCCATTTCCTCCTACATATTTGCTGAGCAATAGGCTCTTGGTTAGTTTGTTGCCAGAGTTTTTTTGTTGCTAATTCTTTCTGGCCAGCCATTTGATCTTCAGTATGGAGCCAGATAAGGGAGCTGACGATAAAAGTTTGAAACCTGTTGGACATTCGCTTTCGTGACATGCCAAGTTTCTGACCCATATAGAAGGATCAACTTTACATTTGTGTTGAGAATCTTAATCTTGTTCCTTATGCTGGCTGACCGAGTACAGAAGATTTCCAAACTGGTTTCAGGTTGATGAAGGTACATCTTGTCTTTCTGATTCTGACTTTGACATCCTCTTCCATTTTGCCTGTGGTTGAAACGATGCTTCTTAGATAAGTGAAGGAAGTAACCTCTGTTAAATCTTTCCCCTTTGACGATGACTGACATGACACTGGAGTCTAATTATTCAACAGAAAAGCTCAGTGTACTCTCCTTCAGTATACTTTTGATGCGATCAATATGTAGTGTTTCATGAACTGTTAACAAGTCCCATATGAGTATATCGACAAAAATTAGCTTAGTCACTCACTAATTCAGAGATGATTATCGCATTTACTGTTGGAAAGAGTGGGTGACAGAGTTAATAAGTAATTTTATCGTGGCAACCGCAAAATGTCAACCTAACCTAAGTGACATCCTATACTTGATAATAATAATATTAAGTCAAGGAATTTTCATACTCACTAGAATTGTCCTAAATTTTTTCAAGAAACCACATGTTCTTGGTCTCATACTGTCATTTGTTATATTTACAGGGTCTAGCAGTACCTCGTACACTTAATCACTGATGCGTAACTAGGTGATGTGATTATTAGTCTCGTTAGTTCGTTTCTCGGGAAATTCAGGCCAGGTGGTCTGTGTATTTCTCAGAAACATTTATAGATCCAGATTTCTTCGAAAGATATTCTCACAGAAGTAATAAAGCCTGTTGGCCTGTAAACAAGTCATTATTATCATGTTTATTAGTCAAAATAAAGGATTTCTAGGGACTTTAGATTAATTTCGGCTGTTGGATTTTCATCACAAACTAACATCAATTGGAGGAATCATTGAAAACCATGGGGCACTGATATCTGTTTCGTTCTATTTTGAGACTTCTCAGAACACGCACGCACGACTCCATAGGGGATAATACCCGGGACCTTCAGGTTACGAGAACATTCGGCCACTTCAGCTGGGATTCATTAACTCCAGAATTCTAACTTCGTTGACCTGACATATAGCGCTACCCTCACCAATGTCATCGATTCACATCCACTTCACTTTGGCATAGTATTGGTCAACGAGCTTTGTGTCATAACCTGAAGGTTGTGAGTTCGATCCATGGAGGGGTCCTGGGTGCGTACTAATGAAAAGTGACAAAGTAGGGAGAAACAGCTTTCCAGTGCTCCCGATTCTCAGTGGTCTCTATAAGCAACGTAGGTTTGTGACAAAAATCTAACAGTAGATATTTATTATTATCTGTCAATAGTGTATTCTAATTCTGTTACACTGATGAATACAAATGGCACACAAAACAACAAAGAACGAACAAAAACAGGCCGCGTGTGACCGGCCACAAGCAGTTGTCCCCTGGGCTCTGCGGTCACGCAACCAACTTCCACGGTGTGGGCAGCCGGGAAGTAACAATCGCCCTCACAATCCAAAACGCACACAAAACCTCTCTAATCCTCACTTATCTTTGTCTTCATCTTCATCTCTATTACCTTGCCTTCCTCCACTGATGCAACTCCTCTACTTGATGGCTCCTCACTCCCTCTTCACTCTGTGTCCACTAAAAACGACGAAAGCCAAAAAACCACCACGGATAGTCTCCTAAAGCCACGCCACCAATTTCATATAGGAGCATTTAATGTTAGGACACTTTGCCAAATAGGACAACAAGCATCACTAGCTAAGACCCTGGCATCTCGAGCCATTGATGTATGTTGTGTTTCAGAAACACGCATACAAGACCCAAGTGTGGTTATTCACCTAACCCCACCTGGCCAACAGGATGAATCTTCAAAATTCACCTTGAGGGTGTCAGGAGATGCCACAGCTAGTTCACGAGGATTAGCTGGCGTAGGGATAGCTCTGAGTACTAGGGCAGAAAAGACATTGCTTGACTGGATCCCGGTAGATAGCCGAATGTGTGCTGTCCGTCTGAACGGATCAGTAAGAAGGAGAAAGGACTGCACTACTCGCCGATGCCTTTTCGTAATCTCCGCCTACGCCCCCACTGACTGCAGTTCGGATGAAACGAAGGATGAGTTCTACCAAAAGCTGTCTAGTTTGGTGAGAAAGGCTAAACGCTCAGATATAGTCGTTCTAGCTGGTGACTTTAACGCTCAAGTAGGGAAATTGTGTCAATCTGAGAAGGATGTCGGTGGCACCTATGGAGTTCCGTGCCAGCGAACCGACAACGGTGACCGTCTCCTACAGTTCTGTTCAGATAATCATTTGTTTCTTGTAAGCACTAACTTTAAACACAAGGAGAGACACTGTTTAACCTGGCGACCCCCATCATCAAACCAACGCTGGACACAAATAGACCACATAGCAATAAGCTATCGTTGGCGTGGGTCGGTAGGAGATTGTCGCTCCTTCTGGAACACGTGTGTAGATACCGATCACGCACTGGTCCGGGCTCGTGTGTGCTTACGACTGAACGGACGTAGGAAACAGCTGGCGGTAAAACCATCACGTCCCCAGCTCGATCAGGAAACTAAATCCCTATTTGAGGAAGAACTAGCTAAACGCATATCTGAATTCGACAGCTGTGCTCACCCTGGAGAAGCCTGGAAGAATATTCAGTCAGCTATAGATACAGCTGTAAAAGCTGTGAATAAGGCAAATCCAAAGGTGAGTAAAAACCACTGGATTTCGACTGCCTCATCCGAACTGATAGATGCTAGAAGACTTATTCCGGCGAGCTCCGAATTCAATGAGGAGCGAAAGCTGCACAAAAGGAAACTTACTAAAAGTCTCCGCAAGGACCGTGAACAGTGGTGGGTGACAAAGGCGAAAGAGATGGAAAAAGCATTGGCGATAGGCAACACTAGGCAACTCTTTAGACTCATCACAGAATCGGGCGGGAGAAGGCAATTCATAAGTGAGACTATTTCTGAGAAAAATGGCTCCTTAATTAGCTCTCAGGATAGACGCCTTGAACGCTGGAAAGAACACTTTGAGGAACAATTTAACTTGCCTACAGCCACACTGAACCTCCCCGCCATCCACCACGTACCCGAATGGGATATAGACACTGGTCCGCCGTCTGTAGGTGAGGTTACAAAAGCTATCAGTAATTTGAAACGAGGCAAAGCGGCAGGACCCGACGGAATTATTCCGGAGGTGTTTAAATATGGGGGTGACATACTAGTTTGTAGATTAACTGAGGTACTAGGCAAAGTCTGGGAATCAGAGACAGTACCATCAGACTGGGGTAAGTCACTTATTATACCGATATTCAAGAAGGGAAACAAGTCCTCGTGTGATAATCATAGGGGGATCAGCCTAACGAACATAGTCTCTAAAATCCTAGGCTCAGTAATCATGCATAGACTAAGCAGAACTCGGGAGGAACAGACAAGGGAAAATCAAGCAGGCTTTAGACCAGGTAGAGGGTGCATAGATCATATCTTCACTCTTCGACAGATTCTAGAACATAGACACACTTTTCGGCGTCCAACAATTGTCATATTTCTTGACTTGAAGGCGGCCTTCGACTCCGTGGATCGAAAGGTACTATGGCAATGTCTGACTGTGAAGGGAGTGCCAAGAAAGTACATTGCACTAATCAAGGCACTCTATTCAAACTCACGTAGTCGTGTAAGGGCTTATGGGGAATTGTCATCTGAATTGGTAACAACCAGTGGTGTCCGACAGGGATGTCCACTTTCCCCATTTCTGTTTAACTTCATCATAGATATGCTAATGGAAGTATCCTTAACTGAACGTAGTGACTTAGGAATCGACTTGTTACCAGGGAATAATCTTATGGACTTAGAATATGCAGATGACATAGTCCTGTTAGGGGAGGATGCTGACAAAATGCAGAGTCTTCTGAACACCTTGAGCAGCAATCTTCGTATGTTTGGCATGCGATTCGCCCCTGCAAAATGTAAGATGCTGCTACAGGACTGGACCACGTCAACCCCTAACTTAGTGATAGGGAGTGAAGTGATAGAACATGTTGACCACTTCACCTACTTGGGAAGTTGTATTAGCACCAACGGACTGATTGGCGATGAAATCTCAGCACGGATCCGAAAAGCTCGAGCTGCTTTCGCTGACTTACACCATCTCTGGCGTAGGCGTGACATCCGGTTATCAACCAAGGGACGTGTGTACTGCTCATCAGTTCGCTCCGTCCTTCTCTATGGCTCTGAAACATGGCCAATACGCGTTGAAGACATGAAAAGGTTGACTGCTTTCGATCATAGATGTCTGCGATCTCTGTCTCACGTTAGGTGGTTTCACAAGATAAGTAATGTTGACGTTAGGCGTAGAGTGTTGGGCAAAGAGGGAAAATCAATCGACGAGGCTATAAAGTTACATAGACTAAGATGGCTAGGTCACGTGCTGCGCATGCCTAACCACCGCCTCCCCCGACGGGCATTGCTAGCTGATATAGGTTCAGGTTGGAAAAGAGCCAGTGGTGGCCAAACAAAAACATGGCATCAATCCATGAAATCCTTGACAGTTAAACTGAGTCAGGTAGGGAGATGCAGACTCCCGGGTTGGGGCCCTCGGGACTCTAGGAATCAATGGCTGGAGACAATAGGTGACATGGCTCAAAATCGTTGTCAATGGCGCAGATGTATTCAGTCTCTGTAATCTTTCATATTCCTTTCTACCATTACCCATTCTGTTTCACTCTTATACTTGTCAAACTCTATTAATTCTCTTCACTCATCTTCTTGTCTACCTCTGTGTGCTATTTGGAACGTGGCAACTCGAACTGCTGCACTTCGGTGCCAAGTTCTATGTTGAATCCAGACAGACAGAGCACTAGAGACTTAGACATCTTAGCGCAGTACAATTACGATGGAACTTTTAATGCTATAACATTGATTTAAGGAATAGAATTATTTGTAAGCCAGTTCAACCATACAACTTCATTATAAAGACACATGAAATATAACGGTTTCTGCCCGTTTTATTTTTATTCCCTCAGGTTCCAAATGGGACAAATGTCCTTAGCAACACATCCTTATTTCACTCTGTTCCCTACTGTATTTTTTGACTGGCTTCACGGTTGCTCATAAGTCTTTATCTCCTTTTTGTACGATCTACACCATGTCACCTTTGGACATGCACGCGACTCATCACTTCTCATTTTGTCTTCACTTGAGTGTCTTGCACGAAGTGTCACCCGATAGTCTCCCTTATGTGTATCCAACCTATCTCCATTTCCTTCTGCATAATTCTTCACGATGGGTCCTTGGTTGGTTCGTCGTTAAAGTTTCTTGTGGCTTATCCTTTCTGAAGGCCTCGAGATATTCAGCATCGACAGGTGAAGGCAGCTGTTCATAATGTTCATCATCGCGATATGGTTATAAGCAATGAATTGTGGTCAAAACGTCATCAGTAAATATTACTGTATCACTGAGTGATTATATCACATAAATTTTCTTTATGATGGAATTATACTCTAGCACAGTGTTCAAGTTCTTTTCTTATATCAGAGTAGCATGGATAAATGGAGTTTTTTCAACTAAGGGATGTACTACGTTTTCTCAATGGATCATGTGCTTCAAGCTGATTTGTGAATGAAAAGACTGAGCATATTTTTAAATCTGACAAGTCACTACCTTGTAAACTGGAGAAGCGGTTGGATTTGCCGCATGAGGTCTATGTTCAATTTAGAAATCGAAGTATTCAATTCTTACTGAAAAATTACTAACGATAGATGTGTATTATTTCCCTGATTAACTTATGAAGCTTAATGACAACATAGTTCTTTACGTTAAGAAACTGGTTGAGGTTGCATCGACCGGAATCTAACGTTTAAGAAAATTAACATTGGATCTATTCCACAATGCTCAAACTTTATACTGACACTAATGATGAGTAGACTTCTCTTGAATCCTTCGATATTCAGAGTAAAAAGTAATATAAATCTACTGCAATTTGTCTCCATTTAATTTACTATTATTTAGTACTAGTTTGAGGTCAGTTATTGACCTACTTGCTGAGAACTTGGAACTGCTCATTTATAATGAAGTTGCTGTGATTTCTTAGTCTTGAATTAAGTTTGAATTTTGACACAGGTGTGTTTGTGATGTGATTGATTAATTTGTAATGAAAGATGAGATTTAGCCGAGCTCGTTTTTTGAACCTACAAAAATTCTGCATTAACTCAAGTGACATTCTTAGTCTGTTATAAGACTGTGTAGTCAGGACTGGTTTTGAAGTGATTGTTCTTAAAGTGAAATATCGTTGTGCCTCACTGATTTTATATATGTCACTTGAATGAAATCATGGATTTGCCTACATCCAAGTGAGTGACTGTCTCTGCTCCATGTAGTGGAAGTCAGACATTCATCATTTCAGTTCACTAGTCTGTTTTTCCCATATTTTAAAGGAGATATGAGATTAATTACTGTCTGCAATCAAGAAATCAAGTAAACTAATACTGACATGCTGACATCTAATTGATCCTACTCAAATTTTGTACGAGGGTCAAATTGTTATACCGTTCTCCTAAAATTTCTGTATTGTACTGGTGTGGAAATTTTTAATGAGGCTGAAGTGAATCAGATCATCTCTTAACCATTTGGCAACAGTCATTCGAATTAATAATCACTAACCGGGCTATTTTCCATGTTTGTTTCTATTAACTCCTTTGAAGCTTAATACTGATTCTTTATCGTTTATATTCACAAGTTGTAATTCCTTTTATATATAAAGCAATTCTGTCGGAAAATTGCTCTGAATCTTGCTTTGCGTTTGCTTAAGTCACTTAAAACTTTTGAGGGATTTTGCTAATTTCCCATTTACTGACTGAAGTAATTGAAGTGTATCAGTCTGTAATTCGCGAGCAGGGGATTAGGGAACTATAGATGCACCTACCATGACTTTAAGTAAAACAGTGCCAGTCAGTGACTGTCCAATATTTCCATCTCTTCTGCAGTAATCGTGCAAACATTCAGCAAATCAGTCGGCTATCAGTACTTTCTAATAATTATGATGTGCTTTCAAGATTTAGTTTCTAGGGATTTGATTTATCCCAAGTTTAACCATGTATCGATATCGGTTAGAGAGCCATTGAAAACCAAAGAGTACTGGACGGCTGTTCCATCAAACTTAAAACAAATTTAGTCCCTGCAACTCAAATCCTGAAAATTAATATGATGCTGGCTAGTGACTGGCTACATAAAGAAATTTATTGGAGTTCTAGTCAAATTCATGACCAGCAATGTTCATCCAGTAAAGAGTAAGGACAAATACTCACCGATGACACTGTCTAGTGGTCGCGCTAAAATCACGAGAATTCACGAGCCGTTGAATCGAGTCCCAGTGGCTTGATGGACTGTGAGCTTTCCTTGTAACCTGGGGGCCATAGGTTAGAAACCCGGTGAGTGCGTACTACTGATGAGTTCTAGACTAGGACGAAACAGCTGTCCAGAACTCCATGGATTTCAATGGTTCTCTAACTGATATCAATCCTTGGGCAAACCTGAAACTTTATTTTAGCTTCATTTATGGCCAATTCCAGCCAGTGAACAAACTCAAATCTTCTGTAAGAACATTATCTAATCTGTCTTCTGCTGGAAACAGTAAGATAAATCGGAAACAGAGGAATTTACATTATGCTCCTGCCAAATTTTCTCATTTTCCAAGCTTTTGAGTTGACATAAATGAAAGAAATATCGTTACCTGCATCAACCATAGATCCAAACTTTGTCATTTAATGTTTTCAGTATGACATCATGAGGCACTTGCAAAAGATAAGCGATAAATCCACTTCTAAAAAGGTAAAAGCCTATCTGACACCTGCATAATCTTATTCCATTTCTCCAAATGTCATCACCAATGTAAATGATTCACAACTACTCATTCTGAACATAGATGTCAGTCAGGGGGATTTGAAATATATTTTTCAAAATATTTGCTCAGACAAATATCACCACTGATATAATCATTCCTGTTTCGCTTTTTCCTCTTTTTAGCCAATCGGAATACTTCTTCACCTTTATGGCACTTCTAGGAGAATTCTTTTTATTCATGTTTCATTTACACGGGAGAAGTCCTTTGGATGTTTACATTCACTTACTTCTAGCTGGGATGGTCGCATTAGGTGTTGTACTACTACTCTGCGAACTGATAGCTCCTCATCAACCAGTTTATGGTATAATGCGCAGTTGGACATATCTAATGCAAGGAACATGGTTTTGGCAAGTAAGTGACTAGTTTTAGTGTGCATTTTGAAAGTGTTCGATGTGTAACAGTGGGAATTCTATCGGCCATTGATTACCATCATCTTGGTATCTGTTTACGTCACTTTTATTTCTTGCATGAATATAGTACCTCAGTGAAAACAGAACTGTAAGTCTAAGCATTTTGTTCAAAAGAAAGACTAGACAGAAAATTTAGGTCAATCACTATCATTTTCATTTCTGGGTATTCAAATATCAAAAAAGTAACATCAACAGAATATTGATTGGAATATAATGTTAGCCACGAATATTCGCTTCGTTAGAATTCTGTTTATATCTCACAGAGACAACGTAAGAAGTTCTCTACTCTATTATTAATTGAATTATTGTTAGCAGTAATAATAGTCAGTCATGTGGCAATCAACATCAGGAAACAGTATGAATACGCGGGTATTATTTGCTTGTTAGCTGCAATGTTGCATAACCTTGTGAATAGCGGTCATATAGAATTACTACATTTCCAAATTTCCAATTACGCATTTAGAAAAAAACAACAGATTGGGCGAAGAAATATATTCCTTTTCAATTAGTCTCTCATCATCAGCTCTACACTAATATCTAGTGTTTTAAACCAAAATGTTTTACCAATCAAGTGGTTATTTTAGTTAATCAGTTTTAGATATGCGGGGTGGGGAAGTTAAGAGGTTAAAAGTCATCAAAACAATTAACTAACAAATGTTAGTAACAAGATATCTAAGTTTTGGAGGAGGGAGGGGTGAAAATTAATTACCGAATTCGAGGTAATTTAATTCGTAGGGATTAGCAAAAAATTATTACATAGTCAAGAAATTTGTAAGATAATAATGACTAAGCAAAATAGGATGACTCAGTGGAATTACGTACAATACAAACAAGTTAATAGAATTAGCTACAAGTGTAAAAATTAACAAAGTCGAAAGATAGTTACATTCTGAAAAACTTAATACATATTGTGAAGTTGGCCATAACACAGAAAGGGGCTATACAAATTTCTTTCGAACATACAGATTCGGCTCGTTCAGATAACTTCCGATTGCCTCTACTGTATGTAAAAGTCGTGCTCGTAGACCATGCAAGAGGTTAGATGATATACGATATATAACTTTAAAAGCTTTGTTAGAGTCAACTTGACGTCTAGAATCCACAAGATGAGCTAGTATAGAGCTGCGTATAGCTTTATTCGGATCTTTGCGAAACGGAGATACGAGGTGTTCAGAAATTAGATGATGAACTTGCGTGATCGTACGCCCAATGTAACTAGCTCCTCCGCACGAGCAGTTAAACTGGTAAATACTCATCGAAGAGGCGAAACAGGGTAGTTTGTCTTTATTTCTTGAAGTAAGTATTGGTTGGCTAGTGAATATACAGTGTAGATTAGCTGCGTTGAAAGTCCTTCTGAAGGCCCTTCTCAGACGTTGTGATAAGATTTCACTTTTGAGACCATCCATGAATTGTAATGTTGGGAAGAATGATTTTTGGGGAACAAAAGGCACTTCCGACCTTTTACTTTCTGTGTTCATGTGTTTGTTCAAGAATTTGGCCGGATATCCGTTTCTACTTAGCAGATCACGAGTATTACCGAGTTCTTCGTTCAGTGTCTCATTTAAACAGATAACTCTAGTCCGGCGAACCAGACATCTAACCAGATTACGTTTGTATTGTAGAGGTACGAAACTCAGAAAGTCAGTATATTGTTCAGTGGAAATAGGTTTTCTATGCAAACGTCTACATGTTGTTCGGTCTATTCGTTTAGTCATTGGGACGTCAAGAAAAGAGATAGAATCAGTTTCATCTTCCTCTTGTTTAATGAAGCTTATGCCAGGATGTTCTTTATTGAATTTATCCAATATGTTCTTCGTCTCACCTTCTTTCTTCACAACTGTAAATTTATAACGGACATATCGGCAATAGAAATCAAGATTATATATTACACCTTAAAGAGGACCATTCTCTAGTTTCGCTAGGAAAAAATCTGCAACGATTGGGCATAGAGGTGATCCCACGGCAACACCATCTCATTGTCTATACATTTTTTATTGGGCGAAACGTTTACGTTGATTGTACACCCTAAAAGAAGATCCTTTGAGGAAGACACAGCAATTCCAGTTTCTACACCTTGCTTTATCAATTCATTACATATGTAATCAACTGTTCCCATCAAAGACACATTGGTGAATAAAGAAGACACATCCAGTGATATCTTGTATTTATCCTTCATATTTAATTCTATATTTCTTTCTATGGACTCAAAACTATCTTTCACCCTACTTTTCACATTTCTTGTGCAACGGCCGTAAGGGTTCCAACAGCCGTTTTGCAGTTGAATGGTATGGTGAGCTAGACATATCGAGGACCAGTCTAAGTGTCAAGCTGTTTTTGTGAATCTTAGGTAAGCTGCATAACCTCGATGCCACCGTGCCAACAGGTTTTAGTGTTTCATACAAGTCAGGTGAAATATTGTCTTGTTGTTTCAACTTTTTTAAAGTCACTGTTAACTGTCCCACTCGACTCCTGCGTATCTTTAATAGTTGATTTCTACATTTTACTTCATATTATCATTAGGTAGTCGTAATTTCCCAGTTGAGTATGATTCTAGTTTGATTTGTCCAAATACTGATACGGCTTGATTAACCACCAACTGTTTTCCAACACTTATCTGGACACGAATGATTCAAATACATCAATATTGAGACAATTCTGATTTAGATTTTGAAAAACGGTGAACTCGATACTGTGGTGTCTTATTTCCTTGGATTCATAGTCGCCTCGTAAGTTGTTGGCGCCAGTTGATAGATTTTTTTATACCTAGGGAAACGTTTCTCACGGCTTTTTGCAAAAATACTGAAGAGTCCAGTAAAGGCATGTAATAGATTATAACTGACTCGTTGAAGCATTATGAGGAATTTTGAAGAACCTTTCATGATCAAAAAAGCGATATTATTTACTGCAATGAGAAGAATATTCGTGGAGTTCAAGGTGAAATCAGCCGAGAGTAGAAGTGGCTGCTTAATCATGTGAAGTGATATTTGAACAAAGTTAGTGGTCAGCGATAAGAAAGATATGCATAAAAAAATTGATAAGGATGAGGATGAATGAAAACTTCGATTGGCGTCACAGACATGAAATGAAATTTTGATGCATAAATGGATGAATTCAGCGGTTACCAAGCTATTAATCAGGTAGTGATAGCCCATTTTCGAGGAAAAATTTAAGCTCCATTGTTTGCATGTCAAATGTGTCATCAGTTCCAAGTAGTTATGAAGCGCTTACGCTGTTAACTACATTTCAACATTCCGGAGTGTTGTTTTGGTGTCTTGTATGAAACAGGAACCGTGCAACGACTGTGATAAAAAGAGCTAAACTGCTGAATTACGCACTGTTTGATAAGAATTAAAAGTACTCGAAGACAACCGTCTCCACCTTTCATCCTATAAGACAGCAAGCACAAGCATTTTGCTTCCTAAAAAAACCTATTCTCACTGTATTATTCAAACAATACCGCGTAAATCAATCAGAAAAGTAAAAATACATATTCACCAGTAAACAGCACTGAATAAGAATGACTGTGATCTGAACTCCCAGTCAAGCGTTTTCTCAAATGAATTGAGCCACAGACAAATAAACATCTCAATATGGTAATTGGTGATCCAACTGTTTTTCTCATAATTAATTTCCGAAATATCTTGCTAAACTCCTCAATTTCTCAGATTCAATCAACTACTAAAAGTAGGGTATATTCAGATTTCTATGCGTAACGCATTATATAGTTATGAGGACGGATATGATAACCCGATAACTCATAGATGAAATAAACTTCTCTGTGGACTTAATCATGTATTTTTTAGTCTATAGGATACACTGACAACATGGAGCTTGTTAACTTGTGGTCAACTAGAGAAATGTCATCCAACAACCTCATTTTCAACAAATGCAGGGAAAAACCTCTTGTATAATAATAGTTGCCACATTTCATAAACTAAAAGACTTGACACTACACGTGATGAGACAGATTAGTCAGCGAATGCTAGCAAACATTCGTTTTCTATAAAGATTCATATTTGATACAAGTAACGTCAGCGTTTTGAACTGAAGGACTCCAGGAGATTCATGAACGCGTCATCAAGTGTTGCTGTCACAGACATTGCAACTGAACTATTCCGGTTCTCGACTGATCATCTAGAGGACAGTGATGGACACAAATGTGCAACATTAGATATTAACACCTTCTATTTTGACCAGACTGCTATTTCACAGTGATGAATCAGCTGGAGGAACTGTGGTTACCGATTTCTTCCAAGAAAAATGAGTCATGAGTATAAAACGTATATTTGACCAATAGTAGAAATTGTAAAATAGATATTCATCCGTATTTTTTACTCTGTATCTCCAAAGCCTACTAATAAACGAAATCAGTTCCTTCCTGAGAAATACTGTAACTTTCAAAAATTTCACGAAACCCGTTCCCTTCATAAGTTTCGACAAAGAAGGAAAGACTAGATTCGCAGTATATAATGATATCGCTATATATATCACAGGTTCACATCATCTGCAATCTACTTGAAACCGAAGTGCTTATAAATAATTACAATAACATACTTCTTTGTTCGAATAGTAGTAAAGAAAACTTTATGGAATTAACGCATCCAAAATATAGGCATTATAATTTTGGTTCAAGTTACCGTTTATTTGTGTGCGTTAAAAATAGGAAAGAAGGAGGACGAGGAGAAAATAGAAAACAGAAAAATCTAATAAACAGTGTTGGCATGTAGGTTTGCGTAGCAAGTCAGGAAGATTACGGTTCATAAAATTGAAGACTTGCTCAGTGAGTTGAAGCCCCTAATATGAATGACTGACCATTTTAATCCAATTGTAGTTACCAAGGGATTGGGAGATTGACTACACTCTCTTTCTGTATTCATAATCTTGGTTTGAAGCGCTTGATTGCAATCGCTTCAGGAAATCGTAGAAAATTTGCTCTCCTTTTTATGCCTAATATTTTGAAAGACTTAGAAATCTCTACGAGATGACTTGCATTCACAAAGTGTCCGGTAAGTGTACTTTGCAAATATCTGCTTCCTTTTTGACATAAGTTTCTTGGGATATGGTCTTAAAATCGGATGGAAGCCCTCCTTTCTGTCCTTCCGACGTACTTGCCCCCACAAGTGCACATAAATTTATAAAAGCAGTTGAAGGTGAAATCAGTAAGGTATTTATGCAGCTTGGATTGGCTTATAGAGCATTTCGTGCTGTATAACGTTAGGAGCCTAGATGCATGGAGACATCTTTTTACTGCTGCTTTCATCCTCTTGTCAATCTTTTGTGATTCTGCTTCTCCTTTGAATGAGAGACAAATGAACACTTTCTTCTTTCCAACGGTTTGATGTTTCGCTTTCCCGTCCTTTTGGTTGCTGTACGTTTTGATAAATCCTTTTGGATACCCATTTTCCCTTAGGCATTTTTATACAAGGCCTAATTCTTTTTCTTCTTTGGGGAACATAACTTCCTTACTCTGTCGTATGGTGTTCTTACTAATCCACGAATATAGCGTGTCGCGCAGAAATATATTCTCCTGTTTAACAAATAAATGTCAGACGTCAGAGTAAAATAACAGTCTAGTCATGGTATCACAATTATTTTTTCACCATCACTCACATATGGCTTGACGGAAAGTTGAAGTGGTAAATTTAAGTCATTGGTTACAATTAGTGTAAGTTAGCCGTCGAGATGACAACACTACGCGCATTTTCTCTTGTTATCAATCCTTCACTGAACGGAGATGAAAATACACCTGTTAGGAAATATAATATTGTTGGCCTAACGCAAATTTTACTTGGGAAGTTGTTTACTAAATAGATCAGTCTATTTCTTTAAATTTTGTGCCTCCCTCATTAATACTCTGTTTCAATAATCTTACAGATACCATTGAGATCTCATCCTTCCGTTATTTCGCATTCAAGTATATTCTAGCTATTAGTTTTTTGAGCTTATCATCTATTTTTAAAGTAAGAATTGAAAGCATTTATTTCCCGATACGAATTTAAAACAAGCAACAAAGGTTGATAAAGCAGGAATTAATGAATTTATCAAATTTCTGTAGAACTCATCATCTGAATACTCTACATATGAGAATATATAAACTATTGAAATTACATTGGGCGATATAAGAGTGGTAAGCATTATCTTAACTCACTCCAACATTATAATTATTATTATTATAACTATTACTACTGAGACTATTTTGTTAGCAATTCTTGATATATTCTCTAATGACTAATTGTTTATCTAGGTGATGTAATTGGAGTGCAATGCATTTTATCTTAATTTGAATCTCTCACACTCCCTCTCCCCTTATCTGTTTAACCATGATCTAGAAAAAATTTGGTGAATTCATTAAATCCTGCTTTATTAACCTTTGTTGTTTGTTTATATTTTAAAAGTAATTTAATCACATTTAAAACATATTACGAAGATATCGAAACCAAAAATGTTGTCCATTTTTACATGAAGTTACACGTTAAATAACCTCCTTAATGAACATCAATGTCTTTATTATTAATTTCATAGATTGCTGCCACATTATATCCAACGTCATCATGGATGCCAATATGGAACCACAGCGCACCACAAAGCCTAGCATCGGCAGCTAATTCATTCGCCTACCATATGGTGGCTAATTTCTTCGCAATCATTTTAATTTTTATATTGATCAGATTACGTCACAGAGTTGGATTCATCAGTAATAAAACAGTGATCAACCACCTATCGTCCACAGTAGAAGCGCCAGCAGGAAATTCAGTGATAAGAAGAGAGAACGAGCAACAAAATTATAAGATCCAGACATTACAATTTCAGAGTTTTACTCCGCAGAATGATGCTGAGGAGTTTAACTGAATTATCATCTCGACAAAGACGCTTGTTAATGTGCATGAAATAAAACATAAGCAATTATAAAGTAAAAGTATGCATGAATATGAAAGAAATCGACTTATTTTGAAATGAAAATAAATATGTTTAAATATTTACCGTCAGCTAGAACATTAAACTGATCAATTTGAACTGCCTATTCTCCATTGTCAAATTTCGTGGGATACAAATGAGCTGAGATTTATATATGTCCAGACCAAGTTCATTTTTAAAAGTTTGAAAAAATGTGGGCATTGGGTATATATGTGCGTCGGTAGCATGGCCGTTAGGACTCTCGCCGACCATACACATGATCCGGGGTTCTATCCGCTGCCGACGCATACCTGATTTTAATGGTCGGCCTGCTAAATTTGGGCTACCGTTATCACATGCTGAAAATTCCACAGTTGTACTAAAAATGCGGTGTGGAATCAAGATATAACCAAAAAAATAATGGATAGAGATTTATCTGTCGTGTTGTACAGTGTTTTATGTGCTCAAGCTTGATAGTTTGGAAGTATCAACGAAATGAAATAATAGGGATCATTCGGGATTCAAAACAACTGTCACTGAAGTCCTTACTTTTATTTCTGACTTAAGTTGTAGCCTAAGAGTATAAAAGTAGTACTAAGAAATCGAGGAGTAGATGTGCATTTTGACAGTTTTCACTAAGTAGATTTAGCTTTCAACAAATTATCTCTGAAAAATTTAGTGACAGTTAATTACTTTATATGAAAATCGGCATCTAAATAATAAAATCGCAGTTTATGTTGATTCGTAATTTCAAAATATTATGAACTACTACTGCTGTCTGTCCATCGACCTATCGAACTCCCCCACCAATCATCCTACCAATAACTTCCCACCTGAACACTTGCAAAGTATATTTAGCTGCCTTCCGCAGATCCCTCAGCAGCCTTCATCGTACAAACATGATTGTGAATCATATCAGTTTAAAACATAGTATTTACTGTGGATCCAGTTTTAAAACCATAATTAGCCTTGAAAAGGCTTTCACATATGCCATAGATTTGATGCGAAAGATGTCATATCTCAAAGGATTTTCAAGTAGAATATTTTTCAGTTAGATTACTCTCCGACTTCAGTTTTCAGGAAGACCATGTCGACCATTAGGTCAGTCGAATGAAATTCATTGGTCAGCCCATGAATTTAACTTCTGCCTATTAGTGATATATAGTGCCATCCCAAAACCCACTGTTATCGGTGAATATTCGTCCTCACACTTCATTTGGTGGCTCCCTCTGATCACATCTTAACTCATGATGTAACATGGAACCAGTCAAATAACTACAAAGTGAAACCTGAGAACATTTCGTACAACTGCAATCACATTATCATTACCCGTGTTTTAGACTACTTTGGAAATATTCAAAAATAAACACACACACATGAAAATGTTAAATAGATCTAAAAGTTGTGATAAAAATCAACCAAGAAATGTTGTTTATCAAAATGAAGAAGGAAGAATTTAGTTCAATCTTTTATTGACAAGGTATGGAGGGATAACTGAAGGCAATACTACAAGCTTGCTTATCAGAATGAATAAGCAAATATGTCAGTTGTCAGTAGTATTCATGTAAACTCTTTCTATGTTATAGCATTGGCATTTGAACATCCAGTCGTAACCCAATATGAGGAAGTACAGCATATAGACAGGAAAACGCGATGACACCAAATCCGTTCAATTCACTTTTAGGGTATTCGAAGAAAACATTAACTTCGAAGGTATAAACGACCGAAATTAGTCGAAAGTACACAAAATTATCAATCCACAACTGTTGTTTTTCCATATCATTTTCCTTCTAAATTTGTCCACCCCTTGCTGAAAATAAGCTTACAGTATCTTGCTTATCTACATAAGTGTCAGGTACCACTAATTAATATATTTCAAGAGGGGCATAGATGCTACATTGTTTGATAGTTCCTGTCTGTATACTGAAGTTAGCTTCGACGTAGAAACATTTCCTAAGATTACGTGCACAAACAATCAGGTGACGCCGCTTTAACATTCTGTTTATCTACGCATCTTCGTCTCTGGGATCTGGTTGGTTGAAAATGTTTTTTATAAAGTGGTTCAAATAATCGAACCTCACTGATGTGTATGGCGACTAGTGTGTTTCAGTATTCAGAAATATAAGTGTCACCCAAATATATGATTTTTTAATAATCATGGCCATTCGAAGTATGATATTTAAACCTATCTTCCTTTTCATTGTAAGGATAATTTGTAGTTTGGATAGTGTTCCAGTGCCCGAATTTCGTGAACATATTTATGGTTGGCCTGCGAATTTTGGGCTACCGATATCCACGCTGAAAATTACACACTTGTACCAAAAATACGGTGTGGAATCAAGCTGTAACCATAAAATAAAATAAAAATAAAAATAGAATGCTGTTTTTGGAAGCAGGAGACGTGCATCTTAACCGATCAACAAAACGTAAGGATATTATTTAAAGATAAAATGAAATGAAAGAAACTAGCTACTCTAGGAGTCTCTATACCAAGGACAAAACTGGTTTCCAACTTCGAATGTGAGAAAATTTCCATAAGCTGATTCAGCGTGGTAACTTTTAGGTTGTATTATTATCTAGTCAACTTCAAGACTAATCTTATTATGATTGGTCACCAGATGGAAACGCCATTGAAAACCAAATATTTCTGGAAATAGTCCTAGTCATTTCACCCAGCAGAAATGCACACCTATTTCTCAGTAAGAGATTCAGTCCAAGGCATTCAGACTACAGATTGAGAATTGTACTGATTCAACCACTGAAATAAAATCCAATGATCCATTATGTCCAATATGTGACACACTGTTACTGCCATTTAGTGTCATCTGTGAGTATATATTCTCACAGTTAACTGGATAAACTTCACTGATCACAGGAACTTCATCTCCAAGTTAGTTACTAATAAGCAGTGAATGAATGTTAACTTATAGCATTGATGCTGAAATTATGAGTCTACTCTGAAACAAAAGCATTAGGTCACCAACTGAAAATGCTGGCTGAAATAACTAAAAGATACTGGAAATAAGAAATATATGATTGGTTTATGGACTGTCAAATTTGTTCATCATCTAGACGAGGTGTCAAACTGGTGCTACAAGCAATGCATTCATTTGTTTCATTTCTCTGTTGTATTAACTTCGACAGTGACATATTCTAATGTCGAAGTGGACAATTTAAGTAGTTCATAAAATATTACAGTTTACGAAGCAATTGAATCTCCCGATTGGTTATTTATATTGAGATTTTCATCTTATGCAATTAATGGTGACTAGTTTGTTTCGCGATAAACTTTTAGAAATGTAAACCGACTTTATAAATGCTTAAATTCACTTGGGTAGGCAAACTGCTTTGAGATATCTTCATATAGTTTACTACTTTACAAACCATAACGCAAATCAGAATTGAAGATAAGACCTCATTCAGAGTTGCTTTAAGTTCAGATTGATCCACATTATTTAAATGAATTGTCACTTCCCACCTTTCGAGTTTGAGGACAGACAGATAAAAGAAGAAAAAGAATCGACAGCTGAGTGAGAAAATGTAAGAAAATGCATAGTTCATTTGTGTCTACTTCTACTGAGTTAAAGTGTGTATCAGGTCAGAACATTTACGTTTCCATACAATGTGCATTTGTCTACTCTGTTCAACAGTTAACTGAGAACTATAGGAAGTGAGTGAAGTACTATACTCTCAATTTCTGTGTTCCTCATACTAATGTTCACCATCGTCCTGCGTCTAATCCACAAAATTAGCTTCTACGTGTTAAGTTCCGTTATGCCAGTATATTTTCGCCTTTTGCACTCAGACATTTCTAATAATCGTGGGATTAATCTCAATTTGACCCTTCACAATTTTAGCTGCGCTTTGTTTAATCCTGTCAATTATATTACATTACAAATTGGCTTATTAAAATGTTCTACGGTTTCTACCTCATAAGTATATATATATGATAGTTGGCGTTTTACGTAGCCCACGAAAATCCAATAATGCCAACACCGCTTCCTGTGAGCGCCTCTAGTCATTCAAGGAAAGTAATTTAATAAACCCCAACGATGATGGTAAATGATGTTCTCAACAATCATACAATTCCAACAATGAAAACTTCCAAGTCAAATATATCCAATTTCTACATAAAGCCCTTTCCACGTGAAAATCATTAACATATACTTCCTTAACTTACTTACAATAAGCAAATAAGAAAATACGTGCATTCTACTACATTCTAACTAAATATCTTTCTCTAGATAAAAGGAATTGTTGACAGTGTATCTTTATTGCTTCATGTAAACAAAACGAAGCAATGCTCAACAAGTCGTTAGATTTCTCTCAGTATACACATTATGCTTGAAGTAGCAAAACAAAGAGTGAAACTCACATAGTAGAAACTAAGTCTGTTTATTACATCGGCTTATAAACAAAACAGATCGATAACTTGAAATCAAATCTATACATCCGGAGGGAGTGAATTTTAGTAACTAGAGTCATTGGATTGGTAGAATTGATGCAAATACAAAAAATCCGTCCTTGTTATTGCTCTGCATCTACGTATTCTGAGTTGAATATTTATCATCATTCTCACCATTCCTGTTCATCCTCCTCGGATTACGCTTCATTGTTAGGGAATAGTAAATAAGCATAAAACTAGTTAATTCTTATTTTTCTGTCGAACACAATTATGACTAATTCGGAGTTGGTGCTTGTCTCACAGTGATATTCCCCACGGTCGTACAGTTGATCTATTTGGTAGTTATAACAGATGATCAGGGATACAATACTTTTTTAGCAGGGGAGGATGAAGTAAGACAGCAAAGTGTAACTGGAACTTTTACGTTCTACAATACACTACTGATTACTTAAGTCATATTCCATTATGGAGAAGTAACAGAATAATGACCGAGAATTAGACTTTAACTGAGCTGTTCCCTTATCCATGTCAGAATCAAATGTATGTGTTATAGACCACGTGAACAATGAACCATAATATATCTTGCTCTGTCTAGCAGATACCATGGTTTAGCTTGTCTTTGATGTGTCCTACCTTTTTTCAAAGTAGAAGACGCTTCCATGCTTCACACTTAGTGCTTGGTACGATTCGTGTTTTGGCTAAACTCTTATTAAGGATAACCACCAAAGCCTACTTTGTCTGCAATCATGGGTTGGCCAATACACCTATT